AGTGTTGGACTGTTAACCACAAGGTCAGTGGTTGAAATCCACAAGCCATTCCTTGGGAAAAACCTGTGAAGACTGACAGCCTCGGAACCCTGTGGAGTTTTCTCTCCTTTAGGGTTACAAGAGTCAGAATCGACTCGATGGCAGTGGTTTTAAACTCTATTTAATTTAAAGAAATTTCTTTTATTCTGATCATGTATCCCACTTTTGGGGTGTCTTTTATTCTGAATGCTCCTCCTATGCTTCAAGGTGTTACAAAGAAGAAACTGTAACAATAATGGGGATTTTCCCCCCACCCCCACCCCCGTTTATTTTGGTTTCATTTGCTGAGAGCCTATCTCAATCCGTCCAGTAAGTCTGGATTTTTTTGGAGAATTCTGGTTCACGTTTTTCTTTTATCAAGATCCATCTCTGGTGGTCCTGATCAGAACATACACGGTGGGAACCAGGTACCCTCTCTTTCTTATGGTGGCGGGGTCGAGGCGGCTGTGGTTCATATGGACAATTAGACCCCAAGACCAACTCCTTCCTCGAAAATTGGGTTTCCTTCTTTCTCCTTCGCTCCAACAAGGAGGGGACACAGCTGTGTCTTTGATGGCCACTTCAAAGCTTTGAAGACCCCTGCTCTCCCTCACCAGATTTGGATGTAGAGCACAAACTGATCAAACTGTCCCATGAGGCTTTCTGCACCCATTAGGAGTTAGTCTTGGAAACACACAAGGGCACTTCTACAGAGGCCTCTCCTATGGGATCTCTAGGAGTCAGAACCAACCCAATGGCAGCGAGTCCAGGTTTGTGTTTGCATATACACATAGGTACACATACGTAAGTAAGCCCTGACGTATATGAGGGTAAGTTAAAGCATTTTGCTAAAAAGTCATCGGATCCTTTATTGAAGAAAAAGAACAAGATGTGAAGCTTTTGTTTCTCAATATATCTGCCATCTAAATCTATACACATCTGAAGACAGTGTTTCCTTCTCTCTACAACCCTTCACCCCCAAAGAATTCTGTACTTTTCCATTTATACCATGTCAAAAACCGCAGTTTTAGCATTCTAGAGGGGAGGGAATTAAAATCATTTCTTCAAAATGTTGACTTTGGGGAACAAAAAGAGACCAAAAGGCAAGACCGGGAATGTGGGTGGCTGGGGAACAGTTTCTCAATGAAGGAGGACAGCCTTTCTGACCCCCACAGAATGGGCAGGAGCAAACTTCCCAGGTTGTTTTCCTTTTTCACCAAAGCAGTTTTCAATTTTCTTAAAACATTTTTATAGCAAGTCTTTGTGACAGTCCTATTTCCTTGATAAAATCAAGAGGACCGGGAGGGGGGAGCGGGGAGGGAGGGGAAAAATGAGGACCTAATGTCAGGGGTTTAAATGGAGAGAAAATGTCTTGAGAAACGATATACAAATGCGCTTTACACAATTGATGTGTGTATGGATTGGGATAACAGTTGTATGAGCCCCTAATAAAATGTTAAAAAAGAAAAAAAAAAATCAAGAGGACCTCCTTGGGATGGGGTCCCCACACTGGCACTGACCTTTTGAGCTGACTGACCTATCTGCCTTGAACTTCCTGGCCCAGCAGATCCCCTCAGAATCCACTGTTTTGACTGAAACATTTTCTTAAAAGGCATCCTAGGGGACTAAAGGAGCCCTGGTGGCGAAGTGGAGCAGTTATACATTGGGATGCTAACCAGAAGGTCATCAGTTCGAAACTACTAGCAGCTCTATGGGAGAAAATTGAGGCTCTCTACTCCTATAAAGAATTACCATCTTGGAAACCCACAGGGACAGCTCTACTCTGTCCTGCAGGGTCACAATGAGTCGAGATCCACTCAATGGCAGTGCATTTGGTTTGGAAGGAGACGAAGCCTAGTGCCTTACTGCGAGAACTTGTCTGTAACCACCCACCGATTGTTTAAACATGTTTCATTTGGAATCAACCTGTGCATGTATGGATTAGAACCCTAGTAGCAATGGTTTTTGACTTACCCATGTACATACCTATGTACAAATCCATACATATACAAACACACCTATGAACTGTAGTAGTGTTGTCCTTGATCCCCTGACTCATGAAAACATGTGCTCCATACTTTCAAAGTAACCCCTGTGCTCCATCAAGCCGTACTCTAACACAGGTCACTAAGGCACAAGCTTACCATGGTCCCTCTGTCTTTGCTCACCAGCCTAGGCAGCAGAGACCTGCCACCTGCCCCTCCCTCCTCACTCTTATTGCACCCAGGGAGGAGCTACCTCTCTCTTAGAAACTGAGAGCAATTACACACTCTCTCTGCCTGCAAACCTCCCACCAGTCCTCTGGCAGAATCTTGATAAGGTGCCTGAAAAGGAGGACCTTCATTTATCAAAGCCCCAGTGTAGCACACACAATAAAACTAGCATGCAGTATCACACCTCGGAGGAATCCTTTCAAATACTCTCAGGAGCCCAACCGCACTGTGGCTTGGGATTCTATACCCTAACTTCACCAGGAATCTAACTTAAGTCTACAGCTACGCTCACTTAACCAGCAACTAGTGGTGTCCCAGACACTTAACACAAACCAGCTGCTGTGGCTGTTACTATGTGTTGTCAAGTCGATTCTGACCGACTGAGTGGCTGACATAGTGGCTGACTGAGTGGAACTACCCCCACCTGGTTTCCCAGGCGAGAATCCATAAGGGAGCAGATGGCCAGGGCTGTTCTCCCCAGAGCCTCTGGGTGGATTCAGACCACCAGCTTTTCAGTTATTAGATGAGCACTTACCCACGGGGTCATCAGGCTATGATACAAACCACCACTACTCTTGATCTGTCCATCTCTCTTTAATCAAAGTTACCCCGTAGCACACATCTGTCAGTGTTTCCCTGGTTTTTGTCCAAGAGATGTTTTGGTGAGGTGTTAGAAATCTGGGTTACCTGTAAAATCCCTTGAGGTTCACTCTGTCCTTTATCAGGTCAGCTGCCTGGACAATAATAATATTCCTCAATGCTCTTCCTGCACAAGAAGAACTCTCTCCATAGATCTGAAAGGAAGAGACGAACATTCACTGTACATTGGAACTGCAAGGTCACACTTCGTGAGCTCCCTCAAACAGGCTCTCTGTGAACAATCATGTCCACATCCCTGAATGTTTTCATTTGGGTCTAGGTAAGAACAGACCTCCACCTACCCGCGTTATTTTGTTTGTCCTGGCAGCTGTGATCGTGGAGTGGCTTCAGGCTGTGCTGATATCTGCAGCCTGAAAGCATTAGCAGCTGCCAGGGAGAAAGACTGGAATTTCTACTTCCATAAAGCGTTACAGTCTCGGGAACCCACAGGGGTCACCATGAGTCACCACCGACTTCATGACAGTGGCTTTGGTTTACTGTGTACTCACGCTCGTAAGCTACAGCAGCTCTCTTTGCATTGTTAAGCTGCTTTATTTAGGGATAGAAAATGAGATTTCCAGGGTAAAATATCACTATTTTTAATTCAATGCAATAATCCCATGCTATTTTCAAGAGGGTAAGTTGAAAAATACTTACATTTAAATATTAAATCTGCCATACTGATCATGTGCTCATAGAAAAAACTCTTAGAAGATGAGAAAAATATCCCCGTACATATTGTGTCTATTTAGCGACCATCTTGCAACCTGACACACTGGATAGCAGGCTGCAGTCAGCTGTGCACATGAGCACCACTCCTCTGAAGAGTCCCGCGTTACTCCCAAAGCCCCTCATCCCAGCCACTTCATGAGTCTGTCTTCCAGATTGCTAAAACGTTTCCTTTAAGTTTAATAGTTTACATCTGCTAATTCCCCTCCTCTCCCCCCCCCCACACACAGAAGGCTTTGATCCTTAGAGCATGAAGGAGAGTATCCCATAGCTCTAGAGAGCCTCAGGTGGTCCTACTTTATATATGACTTCCTGCCAATTACAGGGGATTGGCATTGATTGGCATTGCCCTCCACCGCTCAATGCTGCTGCACAAAGGGAACTGAGCAGAGGCCACGCCGTCTTCACGGGGCAAGAGCCCATGAAAACCAATGTCCAGTCAGGGCGGGCGCGTGCAAGACGCTTAATTTTGTCCCGGTGCACTCTTTTAGTGCCCTAAGGAGTATAAAGTGTTGTATATCTTCTCTCAGAGCCAACAGACTAACCATGAATTGAGTGCAGTTGACTGGAGACCTATGCTTCCTTAATCCTTATCTAATTTTCCTGTGATCACCTCCTAAGCAGAATCTGATGAGAAAGGGAGACGGTCAGGAAATGACTCCTTTGTAACAAATTGTAACACACATATAAACTTCAACAATGCATGTGGAAGTATGACCACAAAAACGGTGTGAGCCAGCTGACCCCTGACCAGTCCGGGCGTCACACTGGCTCATTCACTCAGCCACTCAAATCATACTGAGTGAGCAGCGACCAAATGGCAGGCCCCTTTCTGGATGCTGGGACCCAGCAAGGAACGAGGTAGCAAATGTCCTTGCCCTTACAAAGCATGCCCAACCCCACTGCTGTCGATCAATCCCAGCTCACAGCAACCCGAGAGGACCGAGCCGGACGCACTACCCCGAGGGTTTCCAAGGCGTCATCTTCTCAGAAGCAGACGGTCACATCTTCTAATCCTCCCCACAGAGCAGCTGGAGATTCAAACTGCCAGCCTATTGGTTAGCAGCCAAGTTTGTAACTACTTTGCCACCTTGGCACCTATCCACACAGCTCCCAGGTGCTTGTGTTTCTTGCTTAAAAAAAAAAAAAGCAAGCCCTTGTTGATGATTTCTTGACACCGCACCATGAAGGCATTTTCCGCTTTCATTACCAACGAGGGAATGTCCTATCAGAGCATCCCATGGCCTGAGCATCTAAACGCTCCCCAGTGGAAGGGGCCACGTGAGCACGGCAGCACCCTCCAACACGCCACGTGCTTAGGAGCAGAGGTAGCTGGAGAAGGCTCCACACCCAGACCACTCAGGGACGTTACAGGACCGTGACGAGCCAAGACAACCCTACCTGGGAAGGAGTGTGCTCCAGATACGGGTTGGAAATTCTTCTTGATAGAGTCTATGTGAAAAAGAAAGAAAGGGAGAAAAGGTTAGAACCAAAGAGAAATCTTTGTCCCAAAGAAATCTTCGTAACGAACGGTACAATGTATGCAACAATGTCGATAAAAAAAAAAAAGAGCTCAAAGCCACAGGCCGTATGGAATTAACACCAGGTATTCTCACTCAATGTAAGCACCTCAGCACAACGTATCTCAACCCCGGTAGCACAGTGAGAAAGAAGATGTCATTTGTACGCCTCTCAATCTTCAGGGGATAACAGACAAAAGTCCAATAGAAAAATTGGGAGCTTTTAGTACTGCCCCTTCCTGGTGTTTTTAATTCCGTTTCTCCCTTCTTTCTCATTGCCCCTCCTGCCGCTGTAACTCAGGTCTCCCGTACTGCACACACCCGCAGCCTCTCCTCAGGTGTCCCTGTGCTCCTCTGACGCCCCCTTCAGGCCAGCCTACAAACTTCAATTACACAATCTTACAATAGCGGTCTCCTGCTTATGAGTCCACCAGCTCACCACAGCCTGGTTCCAACAAGTTTCGAGCATGTTCGGGTTCCTTTGACTTAGCAACATCTGCCTCTCAGAGGAACCTGCCACTCCAATCCCGGCCTCTGCTCACACAGCCCCACATTACAAAGCACTCCATCTTCCCTGATGCTTTCCCAGCCCGTGTCCTTCCCGGCAGCCACCTCCTGGGTGAAGCTCCTCCCACTGGGCTTCCTCTTGGTGACTGCGACTCTAATATGGCAGCTGCAGGGCTGCTCTGTGTTGTTGGTTGTCTTTCCGCGTGCACTATCTTCCCAATAAACTATACATTTCTTGAGGGCAGAGCTGAAGTTTATTGTTTTGCTCTTCCTGCATCACACACGCACACACAACCATTGAGTCAACCCCAACTCAACTCATAGGGACCGTTCAGGATGGAGTAGACCTGCCCCCTAGGGTGTCCCAAGGCTGTCAACCTTTGAGGAAGTAGACTGTCACATTTTCCTCCCACAGAAAGGCTGGCAGATTCGAACCACTGACCTTACAGTTAGCTGTCAAATGCTTTGCCACTTGTGCTACCAGGGAGGCCTTGCATCGAGATGCTTATGGTTCTATCAGTTTATTTCTAGACTTCACGGATCTGTATCAACTTAATAAGTATTTGGGGAATGTTGTGAATTGGGGGAGCTATCTTTTCCTACGGTAAGAATACAGTAAGCAGTGCCCTCACCCACATGTGTGTAAGCACAATAGGGAACTATGTCATTTCCTGCTGCAGCATGGGAGAAAGCACAGAGAAACTGACCGTTACTGAGCTCCCAACCTATGTTTAAAGCTCTTCACACCTCTATGCCAAGGCTTGTTGTCTCCGGAGAGCCTGGTACTTGTTGCCTGCTGCCTCCACTTCTTAGAATAACTTGCGAATTTTATGTATCAGAATCTTCTTGCAAGCATTGTGTCTGCAGAATTCCATCCTGCCCCTCTCTCTGTTCCACGTGGCTCCCACACCACATAGCTTCTATTTAACTGAAATAAATCTACTGACTCTTTATCCAGAAATGCCGAATCGGATACTTGGCTAGGGACCTGCACCTTTCCTTGGAGAAAATCCATTTTATAAGGTAGACAGGCCACGTGTACTTTCAATATGTAAAAAGACATCAAAGGTCTCTCCTTCTAAACTTCTAAACTAATCTATATACTCCTGATCACTCCCCCGCCCCAACCTTCTGCTGTCTGAGCCTATGTCATATATTCATTTATTGAACTACTTAGCAATTTAAAACTTGCAAATGCAACAGATTTATAAGAAGTTGAATCACCATGAGATTTCCCCCCCTTTGCACAGGAAAAAAAGTTTAACAGTCGATATGGCAGACCAGAACTGCCAGTCTCCAGTGTGATTCATTCAATTGGCTGGTCGGTTCAGAAAAGGCGGTACTTTATATGATCTCGTTTAAAAGACTTCCAGGGAGAACAAGTTCTGCAAACTCGGGCAGGGGCCCTCTCACAAAAGAAAACCACCACTTGCCTGGCTTCCTGTGGTCCACCTACATCTGGCCGGTCCTCACTCGTGTTACACTCGCACCATTCCACCGCACAGACTTCCCCACAGAGGCTGAGTCCCTAAAGCAATGCGATCGGTCTGCACGTGTTAGATAAGCAGAGGGCCAAGAGGGAATCAACAGTAGCAACAGAATAAGAGCCGTCTTTTACAGGACACAACACCTACATTTGTCATCAGGAGCTGGGACAAAGGCCCGTCTCAACTGATACTGGGGATGCTTTGTTTCATTGATGCTCCGGGACAGTGGTTCTTAAACTTGGTAGCGAGACCCAGGAAGCGATGCTGTGCTCTGTGGATAGTCAGCAGGCAGAGACTTGCTCAGCTAAAGCGAACGAGCAGCCCTCCACCCTCTGGGAGAAGCCACGGTACAGCAGCTTTCAGAGGCGCGGGTCAGGTTGGCCCTAGGCGTCCACTATGGTTCAGAGAGCCCAGGTCCCCTCACAACCTTGCCTATGTCCCAGTCCTCTGCCAATCGACCTCGTTTAGGGTCATCCTCCTATCGCTGACCCTTGGCTTTACCAAAGATGATCTCCTTCTCTAGCAAATGACAAATACTGGAGTGGGGGTGGGGGGTGGCAGGCACACCATGGAGAAATAGGTCTGTCAATTATTTCGTTTTTATCAAGGATTGTGAGGAGCTCTGTGCTTAATTTTGGCAGGGTAACCCCATGGCTGTAACACCTGCCTTTCAGAAGAGCCTGCCACTCAAATCCCCACCTCTGCCCAGACCCTTCTCCTTGTTAGAAGCCCTTCATCTTTCTCAGTGTTCTGATCCCCTCCAGAATTGCCCTCCCAGCATGGCCGCAAGAGAACACCACGCCATCCCTGGGAGTCCACCCCTCCGAATCAGCATCTGCTCCCCAGTAGACAGTTACCTAGTCTTCCCGCCCTTTACTTTTCTTCCTCCCCTCGGCATCCCAGGGCTTTCGCTCACCACTCCTTGGCATGTATTTCACATTTATTAAGCACCCACTGAGCTCCTTCTCAGGTACCATGGAAGTTTCCAGAAATGTACACATGGACTATCCATGATTTATAAACTTGCCTACCCCAGAAGACCTAACACCTAAAGAACATATTAAACCAAGGAATTCTTTTTGTTGATCCTGGTGGTCTTATCAATTTGCTTCAAAATGTCAGGCAATCGGTCCA